CTGACTCGGGTCGCGCATTTATCCAGTAAACCGTCACTGACCCGTGCCTGCTCCGCGCCAGGCCCCGAGAGGAGCCCCCGTCTGTGCGGACACGGGTTCCGACAGGCACGAGAGAGACCGTTGCCTCGGGGCCTCCTGAGAGGGAAGTGGGGAGCGGGATGTTCCGGAGGACCCGATGCCGACGTGGGGCTTTGAAGGGTAAGCAGGGGTCGACTTGGCAGAAGCCCGGAACGAGGGTGCCTGAGATATCTTCGGGAAACGGTAACTTCACTGCGGCTGTTGGGCAGGACTGGAGAATTAGCGAGAGAGGCTCAGTATTAGGACTAAGGGTCCATCTACGCTGCTTAGGCAAAAAAGTTTGCTGACTTCTGTGGCTTAACGGCCCGGGGTGCCTGACCAGGAATGGTGGGGTCCAAGCGTCAGGCTGTCTCATTTCTGGTTGTTTTTGTCTGTTGCTTGTTTTTGTTTTCAGTGCAAGTGTAATTACAGTCGCTTCATCAAGTAGGGACTCCTTTTCTGATGGCAAAGATGATCCCAGCAGATAAAAGTTTCTGTCCCTCCAGTCCAGTTTCTGCAGCGGAAAGACCCTCCTTGCCAACGTCCCGGCCAAAGTCCCAGGTCGCATTGAGCCAGATGAGTCACGTGATCATCTCCGAGCCAATCACGGTGACTCTGGAGTGGCCAGGCTCACACCTAGCGTTGGACTTAGACTGAGTTCCCCAAAGGAATGTCAGGTTCGTGAGCAGGAGAAGGGACATGGGGGCTCCACACACCTAAGTGGTTGAGGGCTGTGCAGTACAAAAGGGTGGCACAAGGCCTTTGGGCCAAAATGAGCCAGCTGGGCTTTCTCCTGAGTCACTGGGGAGCCGTGGAGGGTTTCGCGCAGCGAAGAGGCTTAGTCAATCTCTGAGGACGCCCTCTGTGCTGGGGACACCTGGAAACCAAGACAGCCCAACACTGCCCTCATGGAGCTCACAGTCCAGTGGAGGCAGATAACCTCAGACAGTGACGATTCAGAGTGGGCAGGGCTGGCAAAAGGGACTCCCGAGGGCGTGCGTGCCCCAGCCAGGGAGGGCTTCCTGGAGGAGGAGCAGCTAGCTAGACACGGGGAGGGGTGCATTCCAGGCAGAGGGAATGACCCAGCGACTGGGAAGCTAGAGGGAGGGAGGTCCTGCAGGTAGCCAGTGATTTCGGGGTAAGTAGAGTCACTGTGGGAGATGAAGCTAGCGATGTCGGCAGGACCTTGAAGGTCAAGGGAGGGAACTGGGCTTTCTCGTGAGGGCACTGGGGACCCATGGTGAAGTTGTGAGCAGGGGAGAGATAGGGGTAGGTTTGTGCAGGGTGGATGGGAGGGAGGGAGGGAAGGTGTCAGGTCAGCAGAGTAGGAAAGAGGTCAGGGTGGGACAAGTAGGAAAAGAGGAATAGATTCAAGAGGCACAGTGGCAGGGCGAGGTAATGGACGGCGTCTGGACTGCTAATCCAGCTAACTCAGACTCGCCACTGTAGTATTTGTGGTCTTGTGGCCTCTGGGTGTGGAGCTGGGACTTGGGAAGGGATCTTCAGTTAGGGACAATATTGTAAAGGACTTCCCTGTATCTTACAAGTTCTGCATTCCTTGACCTTTGGGGTCTCTTCCAACCTTCCTATTTTAGTAATTTTCCTGCGAACTCTCAAGGACATTTCTGGACTCAGTTTCCCCTCTGTAAAACAGACTCCGATTTTGAAACAGTGCCTCTCCCAGGTCCTGAGTCTTCCATTTACTCCTGCCTCTCAGGTTTTTCCCCCTGAAATCCGTCCTTTTGGGGACCCACCCTCAGTGTCCTTGCCTTGACCCGTGTGGCTGAGTGGAGGTGATTGACGTGCCCGGCAGGTGTTTCTTTATTACCTACGCTTCTCCCTCCCCCGATTGCTCTGCCATGCCCCTTCCTGTTTCTCCCTGGGACCAAGCCCTCCAAAAGGCTTATCCATAACAGCCTCGTGGGGATTCTCTGACCCAGCCCCATCCAGACTGGAGGAGGAAACAGCCTGGGCAAAGACGTGGAGGTGGGAACTGGAGGGTGTGAGGAGTGAGAGTCTGGAATAGTGGGGAAGCCACTGGGAAGGGGAGCCTTCAGCAAATGGCATGCATTTCAGTGCTGCCTTCAGGAATCACAAATAACCGGAGTGCGTTCTAGGAGCCGTGGGGAGCCACGGCAGGTTCTTGAGCAAAGTACAGCAAGGGAAATTCAAAAGACTGGCAGCAGCTATCGAGAGAGGTGAAATCAGACCTGGCAGAAGGCCAGTGAGAAGGTGATTAAATGCATGAGAGGTCTCAAACTCGAAGCCCGCGGGCTAAATTCAAGCCTTAAACGTTTTTTGTTGTTGTTGTTGTTGTTTTTGTTTTGAGTCGGGGGTCTCTGTCACCCAGGCTCTGCGGCACCATCACAGCTCACCACAGCGCCATTCTCCTGGGTGATCCTTCTGCCTCCGTCTCCCCCGTAGCACCACACCCAGCTAATTTATTGACTTTTTTGGTAGCGACGAGGTCTCGCTATGTTGTCCAGGCTGGTCTCGAACTCCCTGGCTCAAGCGATCCTTCCGCCTCGGCCTCCCTAGGTGCTGGGACTGCAGGCGTGAGCCACCGCGCTCGGCCAGCAAGCCCGACTTTCTCTCCAGCGTGGACGCGGTGTTCGCGATCCGAGCCCGACCGACTCAGCGCCAGGGCTGCAAAGGGCCTATGCTTGGCCAGGTGCCACTGGGCCACAGATTTCCCCACAGAGCCTCATAACTTTTGGGCTCGACTCGGGCCCTAACTTTTCCTCCCTTTAGAGAGGGGCTAGCACATGCTTAGGGCTCGCCTAGATAGGGCACACCCCCTCGGGGCCCCACGGAGGCCAAAGGCCCCTCCTCCCCCTCCGCCTCCTCCCCCTCCTCCTCCTCCTCCCTCAGTGACGCTCGCACACAAAGCTAAGGCCACCATGCTTTAATTCCTCGCTTCCCGTCGAGTTGAGACGAAACTCCAGGTGAGCAGGGAAGCGCTCCACCCGCTGGAGCTCCGGGTGGTGGGCGGAGCTCGCGGAACGGAGCCGGCCGTTTGAGGGAGGGTTTTCATTGGCCAGAACCCAGAGGCTGGAGCCCATTGGTTGAAACTCTGAGGCGGTGGCTCCAGGGCCCCGGCGACAGAACCATTGTGGGCGGGCCCCCGGGGGAAGGGGCGGGG